TCGTGGGTCTATACACATCAATAGGAAGCTTCATGTGTCACGCCCTCCCACTATAATCAAGTCTGATGTATTCCTGACCACCATAGCACAAGGGCGGATGCATAGCAATGGGAAATGCTTTTGAATGCTTTTGAAATGGCCTCAAAATCGAGCGAAAAGAAGATATGCTAAACTGCTACAGTAGGTGCTTGTAGGCTGGTACATGCTCGTATCAACAGGCTTCTCCGGCATTGCAAGTGCAACTCAGTACATTGCCTCACTCTTGGTGGGGTCAACCGATGTGATGCCCTGCAAAGCATGCTGGAAACGGACGGAAATGGGCTGCCAACGTCCAAAGCCACTTGGCTTCACTAGATAAAAGCTGAAAAACTATGAAAACTTAGAGACACAGGCGGACAAATCTGACAATTGCTGTATGAACGCCTCCAAAGCTGCAAGGCTCAAGGTGGTCGCAGAGATGGGGACGGATGCGATACCTACGAAGAGATCCCGAGTCTCTGCGATGAAAGACTTCAAAGAATTGTATACTTCACTTCAAAGCCTTCGAAGCAACACACGTGAACAGCATCCAGGACAATATGAACAAAAGGTGCACAGTCAAGACATTGATTACACCACAGATGTTGCAAGTTTGCTGACATACCAGGACAGTGGATGATGTGGATGGAGCAGTCTGTGTTGATAAACATGATAAAACATGATAAAACCCAGTACAGCATGTAATCAATCCTTGCATTCTTTGCAAACCTTGTGTTGCCTGCTGGAGGTTTTTCAGCTGTGTGGACATGCTGGCTCTGGCTCCGCCAAGAGTTGTGAAAAGAATGGCGAAGAGTTCCATCTTGACATTCTCAACATTTCTCAACCAGCAGGCATCCAGAACAATCTGATTCCAAATGCAGTGTTAGTGACTCTTAGTGCTGCTTCATCTGGGGCTAGCGGCTGGCGCTGCATATGCGCATGCTATCACAGCACAGAAGCAGTAAGTGACGAAGAACAAATATTCCCCTGACTAGCATGAGGAACCCCGTGACTCATGCTGCATATTCACGCTACATATTCCACCATATTGCCATATTCCGCACAAACCGCGTCCATGCACGGTTCCTGCCTGATAAAGCTGGTGTCGGAGGTATGCCGGCCTTAGTCGAGCTGAAACGATTCACAAGCGAATCAAAAACAAAGTTGATCAAATGCAAAAGCAAATTGCTTCATGAACCTTTGCAACCGCATGTGAATCTGGCTAACATCCAGATCTGAACAGGAGAGGCTTTTGTGCATCTGGAATGATTTACAACATGGATGTTGCTTGCATATGTGTAAAGAACAATCATGGAACCATGCACTGCCGTAATGATCATGTGATCATATGCATAGCCGAATAGAGGACACAATTATTTGTTCATTTTGATGCCATGCAAAAATTAGGGTCGTCCCCTATCGGTAATGAAGGTATTGCAAATTGCAAACCTCTCAGCAAGGCCAAGGCGAACCAAGACTAAATTAGTATTACAATAGGTAATTCTGTCGGTTAGTCTAGTCATATGAGTATTTCTTGTGTATGCATTTGACATGGAGGTAGACAGGTGCGGGGGTTGGCATTTCTGCATGTCAATGTATATACCATTATATACCGATGTATGGACATACAGTACGAATGTATTTTCGGCGACCACAGGCCATTGAACGGACTTGATATATTGATTGGGGGTAGAATCAATAGCCGAATGATGTCCGTTTTGATTTTTGAATGATCCAGAAGCTCCAGAATATTGCATTACATTAAGGTAAGATAATTACAATATTGCGTGTATTGCTTGCCGTACCGAAAACAGCGATATCTCTTTAGAAGGATGATCTACAGCATCATGTTTACAAACAGAAGCTTGCACAATGGGATTCATTCATGTCGTACGACCTTTGTGATCTCGTCTGGTATGACTTGCGATGACTTCACAGTATGCACTTGCAAGAGTCTGCAAGAGCATGTATCCACAGCGACAGGCACTGACTGGTCATGTTGGGCAGCTTGTTGCAGCTTGCTCACTTGCTGGGAATCGTACAGCCGAAACCCCTGTGAAGGCACCAGGCGCTGGTGCTGGCGTTGGGGCAGGCAATGCGGCAAAAACCTGCATTGAAAGCGGAACGCACTTTGCCAACGTGTTAGAAAACGAGGGAAATTGTCCCTGACCAAAAGCAGTGCCTCAAAGTCAACGATGGAATGGCTGAATTCGTCACAGACTGTTTCATGGCGACAAAACACAACGCAACAGCGGAGCCGCCTCTTCCTTCTCTTTTTCTTTCTCGGGAACTCCTCGGGGGTTTGACTTGGAGACTCCAATTTATGGTGTGGACCTTATGTATGCGCCACTTCTAATTGCAGAAGGCTTAGCTCGCCAATGAATTGCTAGTCGCTAGTCGGAGCACTTGCAGATCCCAGCTGTCTCATCCTTGTTTTGTGCCGTCAGAAATTGGATCTGGCAGAACTGTGACACAGCCTTTCAGGCCCTGGAATGTTCTGCACTAACACTGTGTCATGGTGCCAGGCATTAGTGAGCAGGCCAAACCAAACAGCTGCAGTCCGAATGCTGGAACACTGCCAGTCTACACGTTAAGTGAGTCCAAACAAGACCTGTTCTCAAAGCCACAATCACTGCTGCACCCTTGTTCAAAGTTCACCTCTCGCAGGGCTTCACAAATGAGCGGTGTCTCCAAAGTGACGTAAAAGTTGCGCTGAGACGGCCCATGTTGCGTACGTATATAACCAAGACATGCAGATCTGACAAATCTGACTGGAAATTAAGCAATCAACAACAGCAACCGATGCTGAGTTTGAGCGGGTCATATGACATTTTGTACATTTTGTGTTGCCAGGTGATCTATGCGGCCCTGCCTCTCCAAGAACTCAGCGCGAACCAAAGAAGCCCTTGATGTTGTCTCCAACTTTGGAAACCTGCCCGCAAATGTCAAACCAGGACAATCACTGTTGCTAGTCGTCCTTGCTGGTCTTCACACGATCGTACATTTTGATGCGAGTGTGAGCACATTATACAGCAGAGTCTATGTGGTCATATGTTAGAATTTATGCATCGGCATGTCTGATGAACAAACCGAATACATCCGAATACTTTACATGAACAAATCCCAAATGTGTTTATTTTACTGACTTGTTTTCGAATGCTTTCCATGTTTATCATCTGAAGCGGATTGTTGGTTCGCACGGTGCCTTCTCTGTAGCCTCGCCAATGGTCTCGCCCGCTGCATCCAAGAGATTTCTCAGCTCTTCCTGTGCTCTGCTCCAAGTTATTCAATTACGAGCATCATACTTTATCATAATTTATCATCATTTGTCTTCATTTATCATCATGCATCCCCCTCTGCAAATTTAAGCCGGCTGCAATCAATTGCAGTAGCTGGATGCGCAACGGATGTGTGCAACTGCAAATGCAAACTAGGCGCGCACACACACAGTCTAATCAGCCTGCTTATGTCTAATCGGCGTGCATGGGACCATGTGCCAAACAGCTGCAAGCACCATACTTGTTTGATCTTTTTTGGCGGGGTCAGGACTGATAGGTGTGGTTGGGCTGCGATAATCCCACCTACATTCCCAACAATTGGAAACATATGAAACATGTTTAAAATGCCCAAGAAAATTGCACGAAACAAGGTAAGCGGTGCGATGAAGACGCGAGAAACTTTGCACATGAAACACTGCAGCGCCGGAGCGGCTCTGCTGGGGGCAGAGCACTTAGAAAAGAGCGGCGGCAACGCAGAGGAAGTCAGACAAAGACTTTCCAGGGCTTGCCCTTACAGCCCTTACATAGAAGATCATGGAAACATAATGAAACATATATAGCGGTATAATTGGATACGATTGGAAAGTATTCGACAGCATAAAAAATGCATGACCAAACCACTCTGACTATTAACCCAAATGCAAAGGCAAATGACACCGTTAAAGTGACAAGAATGCGAAAGCAAGGCAGCCAAAGCCATGCAGCTAGAGGGAGAAATGCCTGGACAACATACTGCACCACTTTCAAAACGCATTTGGACGCATTTGGCACACAAACCTGTCACCTCTTCGCCCCACATTCTGTGATGCAACTGATTTTTGGCATTGATATTGTGTGCGGCTATCTCATCTCCATTGTACATGGTGGTACATGGTGGTACTACAGTATATCAGTATATGAATTTGACCCCGTACACTTTGAGTTGGAATGCTGGACCAAAGAAAGTTTACCAAGCTACTGCCATTCGCTTTTGTGATTTTACTGTGCCCTTATGTAATCTTTTTATGTAAACGTTATGTCATGTTATGTCTACCTTTAACACATTTGTTTTGAAACTAAGCAGGTCAAACGATTCTGCAAAAAACAACGGGAGCATCAAAGGACCAACATGGTATTCCAATGAAACCTATCTTACCCGTAAGCATTGGAGGAATTTGGAGGATGCATCCAAATTGGGAATACACCTGGATGGGAGCAGTGACAGCCTTGCGCCGGATGTTCTAAAATCAGGCGCCAAGCAACGAAACCCCACAGGTCCCGAAGGTACAGCAAAATCAATAAACAAATAGAAACAACACATCTACAGAATCTATAGAACAAACCAAAACGAGGCCATGGGCCTGGACTGTAACCTGACTATGGCGCGGGCAACGTGCTCAATGCATGAGGTGCAGTACGACGACCGTATGACGACTCTACGATCAAATATGGCAAGATATAGCAAGATATAGCAAGATATGGTGGCGTGATGTGCCCTGAATATCGTGTCACATCCGCGGCCTCAGGCGGAATGAGAGTGATGCCGCTCATGTCCATGAATTGACCTGCAATTGGCAAGTCACTGGGCCAAACTGTCACATTTGTTACCACAGCCAGATTGCAAACACCTGACGCAGCTAAGCACAAAACAAAACTTGGAAGACAGTGTTGACTTGGCATTGATTCCAAAGATTTCCAAAGTACCATAAAGGTGTGCATAGACCTTCAAGCCAATGCCTCCTGTATCAAGAAACATCTGGCGGGGGTGCCTGGGTTCTCATTGAAGATGGTGTTGTTCATGATCTCCTTCCATTGCACGTGGCAAAACAGCATATTCATACGCTAGCATCTGTTGGGGCAAGTATCCTCGGCGGTTTCGACTGTAAAAATAGTCCGCAAACCATGTTCATGATCCCCAAACCTGCACTGTTGGGTGCATGTGTGGTACTCTTGTTGTAGAAGTATTGGCTCGATTTTATGCAGTGTTTTTTTCTTGACTGGAGTTTCAACGGGCTTCAACCCTGGTGTCCTTGTAACCGAACTGCAGGTCACCTGAAAACCTCAGGCCCTTGTGCATCTGCTTTGCTTGGTCAGTGATTTCGTCCCGCTGCTTGTACAAATTCCTGAGATACACACGAAGCACAAGTCGAGATTTTTGCCGGGGCAAGGGCTAACCTGTGGTACCAGAACCAATCACGGCTAACCAAGCCTTTCCGCCTCTTGCTGTGACATGAAAATCACCTTCACACGATGCTAAGAAGTTCAAGTACAGTATGTTCAACTCGTACGATTTTTTAAGATCTGTTATTTCAGTTTGTTTGGAACAAGTTTGGCTTGAGCTAATCAGTCATGCTAATGTTAGCCGCACTTCATGCCCACAGCTTTGACAATCTGGCCCTCCGCAAACTTGTCTGCGCCAAGTGTTTTGGCAATTTGATTGTCCGTCGCACCCTTCAAAGTCTTTAGCGCCTTCGGGTTCAAGAGTTCAAAAACAGCAAGGGAAGAAACAAAGGACGGGCAAAAGGTCAGCAAGACTGTGTTCGTCTTCCAACACTTTCGAAATATGGATGAAAATGGAATTGGGAAATTGCGCAGTGATCTAGTATTTTGCGCGGGTGTATTGCTCTTTGCGCCCCCCACTGTTTCTTTCTAAACTTAGCAGCAGGGCTGTCAATTTTTCGGGCTGGCTGATCTGTACCCATCTCTCGTTTCAGAGGTCTTCCGGTCCGTCTCTTGCTGGTCTCTTCCACTCTCGGTTGTGTCACATATCTGCAAGAAGAAGCAGTCTGCAAATAGCATGCAAACATATGCGTATGCATATTATATATGTATGTATACATGATTATATATATGTGTGTATGTATATATCTATATGTGTATATGTATGTACATATATATATATGTGTGCATAACATAACATAACGTAAGATAAGATAGTACAACATAATAACATTACATTACATTACATTACATTATATCACATCACATCACATCACATCACATCACATCACATCACATCACATCACATCACATACATTATATACATACATTGTATCCATACATTGTATTCATACATCACAATACATAACAATACATTACAATACATTAGAATACATTGCAATACGTTACAATACATTGCAATACGTAACAAGACATAACAAGACATAACAATACATAACAATACATGACAAGACATGACAAGACATTACAATACATTACAATACAATACAATACATTACAATACCTTGCAATACATTGCAATACATAACAACACATAACAAGACGACATTACAAAAGCATGACAAGACATTACAAAAACATAACAATACATAGCATAACATAGCATAACAATACATATCATATCACATTACATTACATTGCATTAGGGTACAGTACAGTACATTGCATACATTAATGACATACCATACCATACCATACCATACCATGCCATACCATTATATTATCACATTACATCACATTACCTTACTTTATATACATGCCAAAACATTACATTACATTACATTACACTACATTACATTACATTACATTATATTACATTACATACATTACATTACATTAAATTACATCACATTACATTACATTACATGCATGGATACATGTTAATCCTCTCTCCCGATTACTAAAACACTCCCCCCCAATGGTAAACACGGTGATATATGTTTATATATGTTTTTACTATTAGGTGGCATTTTGTATTGGGGTGCCCCTAATATTCCAATGAAAAACCCTAATAATAAAAATAAAAAACTATATATTTCAAATTTGATTAAATCCCTTATTAAAATCTATATAAAATATTGCCAAAACTGGATTTCGAAGCTTTCCCCTAATATTCCAATGAAAACTTTAATAATGAAAATAAAAAATAAAACTTGTGAGATGCGACCCTAATAAAAAACCTCCAGGTGGCAATCTATTTTTATTAATAGGGGGTTGAACCCATTGTTTCACCATCCTGTTCTCCTATACTATTGATTGTCAATTGCCACAATTAAGAATCCAATTGTGCCCAACCAAAAAAAACGGAAGTGCCACACCAATCCTATTCTTTTGATTTGGGGGAGTTTTAGTAATGGGAAGAAGGGATTAAATATAATTACTAGTACATACATGTGTGCGTGTGTGCGCGCATGATGCGCATGCACATAATATCAGCAAAAATGAAAGGTGATCTGTATGGTCTGAACTTTACTTTGGACTTGGAACCTCCCGGAATCTGCTTTCACCGCCAGGTGCGGCACCCGGGACCAGCCAAAAAATGGTCCACAAAACTGTGCAAAGGGTGGGGGAGAAGGCTACTCCGCCATGGCTAGCCATCTCGCTTTGAAACTTGTGTGTGTATGGACTATCACCTGCCTCGGATCCGGACACGATGTTCATCGGGCACCACTGCTTCACGATAGGTGAACGTGCATAGATAATGAAATACCTTCCAGGATGGGGAGTTTGGCAGTGCAGGGTACCCACAAACGCTCCTTTCCGTCTGAACATCTTAAAATATCTATATGTCGATGATTTCGCATGATTTCTACTGATTTCCATGAATATCTGAAGTGCCAAGGCTGCCAAGGCACTGATCTTTCAGATTGTTCAGCGATGGCATCCGCGCTCCCCTTGCCTTGATCCTGAGATGCAAGCTGTGCAAGCACGCCAATTTGTCCCAATGACCTATCCCAGGCACCCGCCCACGCTTCAGCAGGCGAGGCCCGAATGGACCAAGCGCCAAAGAATTCCGAAGCGTCGGCAGGATTCCTGGAATGATTCCTGGAATGACATCAATGAAATGAGATGATGCCAAGTGCTACCCAGTCACATGGCTTTGTTTGGGCGACCAGCAGTCCACATCCTAGACCTGCCAAGTGTGTGAACAAAACTTGTCATGCAACTTCGCCTCTGAACAGGTCTACTGTAATCTGCTTTAGTTGTATCTACTTCTATATAATCTCTTCTAATACTGCTACCTGCCTCGACCCCATCATAACCCATCCAAACGCCCTGAGGGTCTTGAGAGTGTTTTGAGCCTGGTGCCCATTGTGATGCATCCTTCCATGTCTGGCAATTCTTGGACGCTCGGCAAAGCTGTGCCACAAAAGGCATGACCCAAAGCACCAAGGAGCCCTAGAACTCCAAGGGCCACCGCGGCTGCGCTCCTTAGCTTCAAAATGCTTTGCCATCTGTCAAAATGTAATTACCAAGGTTTAGAGACAGCAATTTTTAGCTATCAAGAACTCGAATTTCTTTGGGGTTCCATATCCACCACACACCGTCCGGAACGCCCTCTTCTTCACCTTCTGTTTCACTGAGCGTCAATGGCCGCAGGGGCCTGTGGGTTGGCGTCCCGGTCCCCTCGGCCATGGCGGCGAAAATTGCGCCAAACTGAACTTGATCGCAACCAGCTGCGGTGCCGCGCACAGAAGACACAAAAGACATAGAATACTCAGAGCCTACAAAGACATCCAAAGAAACCGTCAGGTGAGTCTGCGTATGGTTCCTTGAGTTCGCTTCAATCTTAATACTTACTTGCCTGATCGTGAAGAGCATATTAGGGTTCATAACTAGCAAGCTTAGGGCAATGACAAGTCAAGAAAGCCTAGTCGATGTGCCTATTATATACACTGGAAGTGCCACAGGCGTGGCAAGCGTTTCAAAGAAATACTGCATTCTGTTTCGCACCCTTAGCAACCCTTGTGATCAAGGGTACCAACAGTCAACGAATCCAATATGATCAATATGTACGCCGAAGATGCTTTTGAACTGATGTAGATGATCTGTCCGGGCAAATCTGCCCATGTTTATCTTTATTTTACTGTAGATTCTGATGGTTTTGTGACCAGCCTGCAGATCCCGTCAGTGGGTTTCTTCAGGCAGCTGCCGTTTATGGGCAGAAGTTGCCCAATCATCTCATATCATCTCTACAATCTGTACATGCGCGGTGAATCAAGCAATGAAGTCACTCTACTCTACTTTGATTCTCTCTCTCTCTCTCTCTCCAGTATGCCCACAATCACCCACAGGGTGATCTCAAGGCACCACAAGTGAACTGAAGGAAATTCCTTTCCTTACTGCTGCTTCATTCCTCATTCGTAACATTCCTAGCAATTTCGCAGCTACTCCGTGCCACTCTTATGCCCAAACAGAGGAGTTTGGCTCTGATATGTTCTGATCATAGCAGGCTGCGGCACCGGGGGCCCAGGCTTTCCCGTTCTGCTCGCTGGTGGCGATTTCGCGAGCGACTCCGACGCCGAGAGCGGCTACGCCTGTGCCAGTTCATATTCTGGCTGTACTGCAGGATCAGCAGGTTGTCAATGCTTGTCAAGTTGATGTCAGGTTGACGTCAAGTTGACATGTTCTAGAAAGCCATGAGGATCTATGAGCAATGAGGGTGATGAGGCCTTTTACTCTCCAACAAATTATGTATGTATGTATGTATGTATGGATGGATGGATGGATGGATGGATGGGGATGGATGGGAGGATGGATGGGAGGATGGATGGATGCATGCATGCATGCATGGATGTATGTATGTATGTACGTACGTACGTACGTATGTATGTATGTGTATAAATATATATATATATACATATCAAGGAAAGCCGGAGACCAGCTGGGCAGAGCTAGCTTTGAAGTGGCATCTCCTTTGTTCAGTGCGTGGTTTTTTTCTGCACGATTTCAATGTGAGCGAATGTGAAGCTGCAAGACAAACACAGCAAAATGTGCAGATTTCATAGCCGAACATCAGCTGAAACTAGCCAACCTGTCGAGATTCTGCTACAGTGAGTGCCATGGCCTTTTTCTCGAGCGACTTTTGATGCCTTTGGGGGCTGCTCTAGAAATGCTGAACCTAATAACAAGTGTTGAAAATTGTTCAGCTTCAATCCAAAACATATAACTAAAAAAATACTAAAAGCATCTAAAAGCTAAAAGCTCTTTGAAGATTCCGAATCGGATGAAGACCTTTTTGCATAATTGCTGCCTCGCTGGGAGCTTTTCACGGGTCCAAAAGGATTCTGGCATTGGCATCTGACGCAAAGCGCTACTGAGCTCCCATCGTCTATCTCTGTGGTCTCTGTCTCTTCCCCGCTCTGAAGCAAACTGCCTTGCAGCGCAAACATTCATGAGACGAGAGCAGGTGCCCCCCTTGAGTCCTGTCGCACTCTGAAACAGCAACGCAAGTGTAGATGTGCAAGGCCACAGTTGCCCCGGCCCAGCCTCATCCCACCTTCCTCAAAATCATTGGTTTTGCTCAGCTCACCTAAGTCACTGTTTCCGACCTCAGCGCAAGGCGAATCGGTATGGCTTCTCGCCTAGACTTCAACGAGCCTGGCTCATGCATGCTTCCAATGGCCCCCCAGTCTTGCCATCTAGCTTGCGCTGCCTACACCAGCATCAAAAGCCTCTAAAAGAACTGCATTGCCACTGCATTGCCAAGGGGACCAAAAAGAAGGCCAGGCTGCCAAGCCCTTAGCTCCTGGCTCGTCTACCACCACCTGATCGCCAGTTGGCCTTTACCATCATTCCCTGCAGGAAGACCTTCAAATTCGAAGGAGAAGACTTGTTCAATTTCAATCCAATTTGCATCTGGGTGAAAGATGGTGAAAGTTCAAACTTAGCTGATGGTTTGGCAGTGAAAACAAGTGACTGCCTATAAGTGCAATAAGTAATAAGCATCCCCTATCCTAAAGCAACAACAAGCGCCCAGGTGCAAGAAAACTCCTCGCCTGCCCGGCATCGCACGCCTCCTTAGCAGCCTCAGCTGCTTGCGCGTTGGCAAAGCGCACAGAGGCCTGGCGCTCGCACTTGGTTTCAGGACATGTCAAAAGATTTCAAAAGTGAAGTGTGGCTTGACCAATAAAAATCTGTAGTGTAATATTGTAGCCATGCGCGGTGCGATGTCTTTCAAGGCTAGCAAATCTACAGCAGCACGAAGTTCAGGATTCCTGTTTGCAGCCGCAATCATGAAAAGGCACCCTGTCGACCCCACGTCTATCCACGGGAGGTACCTGGTCAGCACCAACAGTATATACAGTATATAACACCATGCTAAGTTGACAACTGCAACAACGCAATTTTTTTTGAGGCAAGCACCCAACAGGAAACGACATCTCCAAAGTTTTGGAAGACACCTGGTCCGGTGCCGTCAAGGCAAAAAGGTCCAGGGAGACTTTGCAGTTTAGCACATCTCATACAAGACTACAGTAGGCCTGTTGTCACGAGGTAGTTTCGCCCCCTCCTCAAAATTGTTTGCGATTTTGCTACCTGATGCCCGCGCCACCATATTCCCCTCCTACGTCCTACTTCTGGAAAACCTTCAATTTGTTTTTGCAAACCACGTCATGCTCGCAATTTGGCGGTCATCTTGGTTGCCATGCAGCTCATGTTTCTCTTCTCTTTCTCTCAATCCCTGTTCCTTGGTTTCCCTCCTCCCTCCCTCCCTCCCTCCCTCCCTCTCTCCCTCCCTCCCGCCCTACCTCTCTTGATTACTGCCACATCAGAGATGCGTGTGCCGAATATACAGGGATATATGTCATGTAACTATATAGGCAAAGGAGAGAGACGCGCTCGAGAATGCACAAAAAGACATGACACAACACAGAAAAACAAACATGTCAAACCAGTATAGATGCCATCCCATGCGTTTTTGCACTTGAGAACGTGAAAACATATATGTTTATAGGCATATACCTCCACATATATGTATCTTATATATATATATTTGTGTGTGTGCGCGTGGATATGTGGTGGTTTTAAATGTTAATGTTTGGCATTCTAATGTATATATATATATATGTGTGTGTGTGTGATTATGTGTGTGTGTGCGTGTGTGTGCGCGTGCATATGTGGTTTTAAATGTTCGTGCTTGGTTTTCTAGTGTCTATATATATATATTATCTAAAATTCAAGAACAATGCTCTATTAGGCGCCCAAATTTGATGGCAACAAAGATGGCAACTTTGAGGGCAAAAGCAATGGCAATGGCAATGGCGGTGGCAATCTGCAGGGCAACATGGATGGAAAAAACCGACGGGGGCAAATGTAATGGCAACATCGGTGGCAAAAAACACTGGCAAATACTTGGCGGGGGCAAAAGCACAGGCGGCAAATTGAATGGCAAAATTTTGGCTGCGAGCAAAAGCCCTTGGCAACACACGTGGCAACGAAAGGGCAAACTTGCATTGCGGGCAAAAGCAATAGCAACACAGGTAGCAAAGCTCTGGCAAAAAATGTGGCAAGGGCTAAAGACGCGACGCGTAAGTGGAAAAAGCAGATGGCACATTGCATGGCCAAAGGATATTGTATGCAGCCGTTGGCTTGCACAAGCGGCTTCTGGAATTGTGTCATATGCAAAGCAAGTGAACATTTTCAATCAGATTGTTGTGGTGTCGAATGATCAAACTTAGTGCTCAGAAATTGTTGTGTTTACAGCTCACTTGGTCAGAAATTGCCTTTCGGTTGTGTTTTGGTCTAATGATTTTCTGTGTCTAAGCGATGCTGGAACATTGCGGGGCACAGAGTTAAAGGACCAGATAACCCCACATGGCAAAGTCTTCCAATAATGAGCACCAAATGTTGTAGCGGGGACGGGGAAGAAAGGAAAGACAAAGGAGGTGGTGGAGGACCGAGAAGTAAAACAAAGTTGTGTGTGTGTGTGATAAAGTTGTGTGTGAAAGATGGTGTGTGTGACAAAGTTGTGTGAAAGAGAGCGTGTGACAAAGTTGTGTGTGAAAGATGGTGTGCGAAAAAGTGGTGTGTGAAAGATGCTGTGGTGAAAGATGGTGTGAGACAAAGTTGTGTGTGTGTGAAAGGTGGTGTGGTGAAAGATGGTGTGTGTGTGTGTGACAAAGTGGTGTGTGAAGGATGGTGTGGTGAAAGATGGTGTGAGACAAAGTGGTGTGCGAAAGATGGGTCTGTGACTGTGTGTGAAAGATGGTGTGAAAGATGTTGTGTCAAAGATGGTGTGTCAAAGCTGGTGTGTGAGAGATGGTGTGTGAAGGATGGTGTGGTGAAAGATGGTGTGTGACAAAGTGGTGTGAAAGATGGTGTGTCAAAGGTGGTGGGTGACAAAGTGTTGTGTGAAAGGTGGTGTGTGAAAGATGGTGTGTGACAAAGATGGTGTGAAAGATAGTGTGTCAAAGATGGTGTGTGAAAGATGGTGTGTGACAAAGTGGTGTGTCAAAGATGGTGTGTGACAAAGTGGTGTGTGAAAGATGGTGTGTCAAAGATGGTGGGTGACAAAGTGGTGTGTGAAAGATGGTTCGCGAAAGAAGGTGGATGTCACCAAGCGCCACACCTGCCACGCAAAACGAAGGTAGATGTCTCCAAGTGCGACGCCTGCCACGTGAAACGAAGGTGGATGT